CTCTTCAACAAAGAGAATGCTCAGGAAGCCTGAAAATATTAGTCCAAGACTTCTTTTACTGATTATTTCCTTTCTAAAACCTTAGGAGTTGCCTGTTTAAATTAAGCAAAATTAGAAAAACTAGGCCTCAGAATAAGTATACTGTGTGCAATAGCTGTACTAAATGAGGCCATTTTGTATGAATATTAGCAGAATTGACTAGTTAATGGTTAGCCACCATTATTTGTTTTTAGATTATCTGGATTTTTCCTGTGTGGTTCCTTTAAAGCTGTAATTCAGAAACCAGTGGTGTCATTGACTCACTACTTCCTTCAGTCAAAGAACTATTCATTACATATGCTTTGGGTTAGAGCTGCAGTTGACTACCTACCTAAAAATATGCTGAGTGGCTTAAAAATCCCCAAACATTAAAGAAATGGAAAAATATTTAGTTTCACAGCATCGGGGTGGAGCAGACACAGGCACCAACCCCCAAGTAAACATGCTTTGACTTCCATGCCTTCTGAATGGAAAGACATTCCCCCTCACTTTCACCCAAGCAGTGGATGTTTTGTTAACTCCAATTACATGTATTGTGGCACACTTAAAAAAACCTAAACAAACCCAGAGAATAATTTTTTTATTCTTTAATTGACATCTTCATAAACTTAATGCTCTTCTTCCATTGTAACATTATAAAACAACACTAAAGCTCTGTAATTCCTTGGTTTAGAATAATGTTACACAGGACATATGTTGAGATATTTAAAATAATTAATAGCATAAAGAAAACCCAAAGCTATTCCTCGTGGTGGGATTTTAGACACGTTTTAATTCTCAGATCTGTCACTCCTGGCACTTGCCACTTGAGGGAGTGATGCATGAGGTGCTGGTTGGACTCTAATTTGAGTCCATTCTCAGTAGTTTTGCGTATACTGGGAGCTCACTCCAAGTGGAAAAAGCAGACATCACATGAGGATATTTTGGCTACAAAGGAAAATTAAAATGGCCTGTATTGAAATGGTTTGGACAGTTACCCTTTGGGAGGTACTCATGTGGCAGTCAAATCCCTGTATGGAACTTGAGAAGACCTTTCCTGCCAGACTGGTGGAGAGGTGCCTGGAGGTTGTACTCTGCTGCAGGTCTGAATTGATGGGGTCACTGTTTCTGTGGAGGGCTGAGGTGTGTGGTACAGTCAGGCAGCTCTTGGAAATGCTTGGGACACTCTCTTGGAATTAGTGTGCAGGATACCTGTTTCTTATGGATTTAGTGTGCCTGGGAGTAGAGGGATTTCAGTCTCCTGCTTTAATCCAATCTTATTTTACTGAATTATTTATTATTTGCAAGTGATGGGAAAGGTTGGTTCATGCTTCTAAAGAATGGCTGTGAGGGGCCAAATATTACAGGGCAAAGCACTTGATTTTAAACTGAGGGCAGGAATCCAAGTTGCCACGTTTGCTTTCTGTCTATTTAATATAGAAACCATGAGTGAATATAGAAAAATCTTCTCAATATAATTTAAAATAGACCAAAAAGTGGGACACTTGACTATTAATAGTTTGTGCTTGAGTTATTGTTTTCATTATTTCTTTTGACTTTTAATTAATAGATGATATTTTCATATTCCAACAAAAATTTGCATAGTGTTGAAATAATCTGTGGCTATATATTTATGTAGTAAACCTGTGTCACTATATATTAGTCCTTGTGTATATGTTGGGTTGTATGTGTGATGTTCCATTTCTGTAGCTCCTAATATTTACTTTAGAATTTACTCTGAAGAGACATGTTAATTATATAAGGACTGTATTTGTGCAGGGGTTTCTAATAACAGTACGTGATACTTTCCTAGGCAGCTATTGTACTAGAACACGTACAGCATTGGCACAATGAGAATATTGTACATTCTTGGTGTTTTACTAACTAAATTAAATAACAATGTGATCATACAAAATACAAATGCTACCTTGCTGCCCTGGAGACCTTAAGATTTTCCATTATTACATTCCCAGATAAACTGTCCAGAATTACTGGACAAAATTGTCCAAAAATTACTGTCTGTAATTATTCGTGGTTTCCTCACAGGATGTAAACTCACCTTTATTCAGCCAATGCTTGAACTAACTAGTTTTTAAAAGGAAGAATACCAATACAAGCCCTTGTAGCATATCTGAGAGCATCTTGTCTGGGACATTTTGTGAAGTCTGAAGGTACAAAAATTGGAATTCAAAAATCTTATTAAAATGTCATTCACCTCAGATCTGATTAGCAGCATCAAGAGCTGAGAGGATGGGAATGAAATTCACCAAGGCTATCTCTTACATATTTCATCATTCTGAAAAAAAAACCAAAAAACAAAAAAACCACCCAGCTGTCTGAAATAGAATGTTCATGCTTTATTCCAGGAAAAAAAAAAATATTTAGTGAGATAGAATATTTGCATTTTGGTGTGTGAACTCTGTGGAGTATGAAGCATCTCATATCATATTGAATATTGTTGAAATACTGGTCTTTGTTTAGCAAATGATGTTTTGAATTCCAGGAAATGACCTTGTAAAAATGGAAGTAAGAAAAGGAAATTCACTTTTGTTAGGGAGGGAAAATGAAGAAAAGAAAGTCAGTGCAAACAAAAGGAATGACAGAGGCTGAATCAGAGAAAGGTGGGGATTTTAACAGGAATGTATGGAGTGTGGGTGAAAGGTGCCTGAGAATTTTTCAATCTAGAAATGCCCACCTAATCTTTCCATAAATTCAATAGTCTCTTCCAATTCTACCAGTTAATTAATAATCCCAGAGAGACCAAACCCCTTTATTTGCACTGACTTTGTATTGCTACTGTGATAGCAATCCAATGCAGAGATTTCCAGGATACTGTTAAGATAGACTATGTTTCACATGTGACTGGACTTGAATGTTATAGAATGCTACTGACGGCTGCTTGAAAGCCCCCAGCTTTGTGTCTGTGTTTTAACCCCCCTCCTGCTGGCTCCCTGACTTCCCCTCTGGACTGCTATTAAACAGTGCTTCCAAAGGGGCTGTTAGGATTTATGGATTTTCTCTTCAGTCCGAAATGGTGATGGTTGTAGTCACCAACAAAAGTAATGAGGCAGAAATGGAACTCTGCGTCAATGGAGATGCTTTCAGGCTAATGGGATCAATGTTGGAGGAGAGGGAGGGAGGTAAGGTAAAATCTGGGTTAGGGTATCTTGAATGCCTGGGAGTACATCAACCCAGAGAACTCCCAGCAGGATATCTTTGCCATGCACCAAATCATTTATGGTCATAGGGTATGCTTTTACTTTGGGGATACTCTGGTCTTCCTGCATGTGCTCAAAACAAGGGCCTGTACAAACACAGCGACACCACCTTTGACAGGTCCTGGTGTTGGAACGGAGTACCTGGGACAGGTTGACTGACCTCCTTGTGGTGATGTGAGTCCTTGAAAAGCGAGGGAGTGGCAATGACTACCCTGTTCACAAGGGCCGAGCCGATAACCATTAGCCTTTTTAAATGGACACACGTCCATGCCCTCCTACTCTCTTCCATGAACTTGTGTTTACCTGGGGCAGTGGTCACACCTGGGCTGTCTTGCAAAGGACAGGTTGTCTGTAAATCTGAAAGTGTTTTGTGCCCTGCAGTGAAATGTCATAAATTTTTGTGTTCTTGTGCCTTGTGAAGTGGTATAAATATGCTTATTTATTGTTGAAAGTAATAACTTACTCAACTTGCAGTATGTGAACAGCTATCTCACTGTGCCCTTCCAAGCAGGTTGGGGCACACCCTGGGCATTTCTCTCCCATACCTTGTGGCTCTGTCACGTGCAGCAGGAGTGTTTTCCTCACGTGTGCAAATGTGTGTGTCTGTAGCATCTGGCAACTCGGGCTGTAACTGTGGGAGTGCTGGACGTGCCCCCCCCTGCAGAGCCAGGGGGGCAGCACCCTGTTGCAAAATGTGGAATATGGAAAATTTTCCTAAGGATATTCTTTGCTGTTTGATCTTTGTATACTTTCTAGGCTGATCAACAGGAAGGGAGATTTAGTCGGTGAAACAGATAGCAGCTAACAAGAAAGCTCTAAGTGATGTCCAGGTGTTAGAAAAACAAATCACTTGCTGATAGAATTGCCTTGTTGAGCTTTAGGCCTTGACATGCTCTAATAATCAAAGACCCGGGGGAGGCTAGCAAAGCTTGGGAAGAAGGATGTTCACTGATAGTGGACACAAAGAATGCAGAATTTATGGGCCATAAGGACGTTTGGCAGTACTCCCAAGATAAGGAAGAAATTAATAAAGACAACTCAGCAATTGTGCTGACTGGTTAAATGGGGGTTAAATCTGGCAGGGTCAGATAGTGACCACTGACCCAAGAAGAAGAGAAAGACTGGGCATGTGGACTAACTGGCATAAGAAATGAGGGAATCATTAACCAACAGAATACTAATTAATAAGAGAACAATGTAACTTGTAGTAAATGAGCACTAATTCCTTTGTTTGCTAAAATATATAAATAGTAAAAAGTTCCGATAGTTGGTGTGCTCGATTTGCAGAATAACACCGAACACTCAGGCTTGCGCAACTCTGAAATAAATAATCAATGTCTCTCTCGAGTTGTAATTACTGGGCTTGTTTTACACTGGCTGACGAATCCGATTTTGGCGGACAAAACCCGCGCCTTCAGGCCCCAATCCAAGCTGAGCTTTGCCGCTCCGACACAGGTTCGCCCCTCCCCGTCCGAGCACGGAGGCTCCCGGGAACGGGGAACCGGGAATCCGGCAGCGGGGGACCCGCCCGCGTCCCGCCCCTCCGAGCCGCCTCAGACTGTGGGCGGGAGCGGCCCCGCGCGGCCGCCGCCATTTTGTGCGGGAGGCGGTGCGGCCCCGCGCGCGGCCCGTGGCGGTGCGTGGGAGAGGGCGCCGGGGCCGGGCTCGGGCTCGGGCTCCGCCTGCAGCGCCGGAGCGCGGGCAGGGCGGCGGGGGCGGCGGTCGGGCAGAAAGGGCTCCGCACCGCTCCCGCGGTGTGCGTGGCCGTTGCCGGAGAGCGGGGCTGGAGCAGGCGGGGAGAAGCTTCCTGGGGTCCCCGCGGGTCCCTCCTGGGCAGCCCGTCTGTCAGTCCGGCGCTCTGCGTGAGCGCTCCCCCTGCCTGGGAGGCTGCTGAGCTTGCAGAGAGGTTTGTTGTGGGAAGTTCTCATTCGACTCGAAAAATTAAGTAGTGAGATTTGGCTTCTGGTCCGATAGCGAGGGGGAGCAGCGTCCGCCCGGCCCCCGGGGTCGGCCCGCTGCCTCGGCCTCCGGACGGCTCCGAGTTACACAGAGACACAGCTGCAAACAGAGAGAGCTTTCTAATGTAAGAAGTAGTTCGCAGAGCCTGGTATACACAGTACCATTTATTCAGAATAAAATCGTCCGGTTTAGTGTACTTTATTTAGTGTTTGTACAATAGCAAACGGATATAAAATATAAAAATTATGGTTATGGACACTTAATTTGTCTTCCTTATATTACAGTAAAGATTTGGCAAATTAATCATGTAGGTCTTTGGTCTTTTTGGACACTTTGAACAAACAGCTGGACTCTAAACATCTCAAAAGTGTGCAACCTTTTAAATTTGAGTGGACTTTGAAAAGGACAATAAAAAGAGTGGTCTTGAGTGGGTTCTATACTGAATTTGACATATTTTCCAAAATTTATTTATTTTTTTAATTTTTATATATAACTTAGAAGAATTCTTGCTTCCATAGTTTCATCTGAGAAACAACTAAACTGTCCAAGGATTTAAATATGACTGACTCTCAAAATGGATAAATTTCCATGCAGTGAAAACAAAAGTTTTTACTCATCTGCAAAGGTCTAATAGTGAATAAGGCCTAATACCTGTAGATGGATCTCTATCTTGTTCCATGCTTCCACATTGCATGAACGTTGTAAGACCAAGATAATTTTTAAATAAGGCAGTTTCTAGATATTTTCAGGGATTGAGAGTTGTTTCCTAGGTTTGGAAATAGTTGCTAGACTTTTCTTTGTGGTAACAGTGAAATGTACCTTTCTCAATAACATTGTTTTCTAACAACTGTAACCATTGTCTTTCTAGTGTACTGAAGCATGTTTTTACCAAGATCTGTTAAAGTCAAGAGAACTGCTGATGAGGACAAAAGCTGTACAGCTAAGAAAAATAANTGGCCTGTGGTGGGGACGGCTGGTGGCTTGGGGATGTGCCTCTGGGGGTGCATGCCGGGGCCCTGTTTCACTCACAGGGAGGAGCTGGTAATATGGGGCCCGAGTGCATCCTCCTGCCTGTGGGGAAGCTGTGTCGGAGAAGAGAGGAAGAGGCGTCGATGGCGTGGGACGGCGGGGCCGCCGTGGGAAGGTGCTGAGGAGAGGCCAACTGAACTTGCGGGGTGGTGCAGAGATGTGGGGGTACCGCGGGTGGGCAGGTGGTGGCTTGGACAACAGCTCCCTCTGAGTTTCCTTTGCTTCAGTGGAAGGAGTTGGAGCTTCTTAGTGCCAACTGTGTCCTCCTGCCTCCTCAGGAGCCATCGGACAAGACAGCAGAGGCCCGGAGTGGGACGGCGAGGCAAGAGCGGGTAAGAAGAGCAGTGGCTTGGAGCTGAAGAGGGGGCGCGAGAAAGGCCTAATACCTGTAGATGGATCTCTATCTTGTTCCATGCTTCCACATTGCATGAACGTTGTAAGACCAAGATAATTTTTAAATAAGGCAGTTTCTAGATATTTTCAGGGATTGAGAGTTGTTTCCTAGGTTTGGAAATAGTTGCTAGACTTTTCTTTGTGGTAATAGTGAAATGTACCTTTCTCAATAACACTGGTTTCTAACAACTGTAACCATTGTCTTTCTAGTGTACTGAAGCATGTTTTTACCAAGATCTGTTACAAGTCAAGAGAACTGCTGATGAGGACAAAAGCTGTACAGCTAAGAAAAATAAACTGTCTTCTGGAGGACCTTTGCTAGAGGACAACACTGAATTCCAAGACTGTAAATCAGTTAGAGCAGAAACTCCTGCTTCAACGTGCAGTTTGAATGACATTGTACAAGAACACTCAGAACCTGTAGCTGGAGACCTTGGTGCCACTAATACAACGTTGGGAAAGGACAGCCAAAATACTGGGGAAGACAGCTCTTTGGAAGAACCCATAAAATCCTTCAGCAAATCCCAGCGCTGGGCAGAACCCGGAGAACCTGTGTGTGTTGTGTGCGGTCGCTATGGAGAGTATATCTGCGATGAAACGGATGAAGATGTTTGTAGTTTGGAATGTAAAG